TTGGGGGCAGGTTAAGCTAGTTAAGGTCCCTGAGCTGCTACCCCACTTTTTGTGTTGAAGTTTGTAACTTTCACATTGGCAAGGAGTCAGGTCCTGTAGTCCAACACAGATGCAGGGAAGACAGGCCTGGAAAGTGAGTTATGGTTAGCAGCAGGGGCCAGATTGGTGAGGTTATTTCCTAGTTCAACAATTTCCATTTTACAAAGTTGCTTCCCTATACAGTGAACATGCTTCACGTGTGGATAGGTGCTTAATGTTAGATGAAAACTACTGGATGTGAAGCCTTGGGAGGGATTTGAAGAGTTTTCAAGGGTAATTTTGTGTCTATGTTTTTGAGTTGATGTTAAAAAAAAAGTTTTTAGGTTGGAGAAGTGCTGCATACCAAATTCCTCTTGAGCATTCACTGTACATAATAGCTTGAGAAATAAATTTGAACAGACCATTTCCCAAATGGAACTCATTTGTGGCATCCTTGTTCTGTGGTAGACTAGTTTGAAAAATTCTGGCCAAGAGGTAGTTAAAATCCAGGCCCTGCCAGTTACTTAGCTGCCTGATTTGGGCAAAACTTTGGTTTCTCTGAACTTCGTTTTCCTCCTTTAGAAGACATTGTTGCCTCAGTTTGCTTCACGTGAGTGATGGATGTACACTTATTTTGGAAATGTCCTGGGGCTGGGAAGTAATAAGGGAGTGTTGAGACTAGATTAGTTAAGAAAGTTCTGGCATTGATCACATTCTCTTAAGATTCATCTGGTTTGGGAGAGGGTATGCTGGTTTAGTTCTAGCTGAATGAGGGATTTTTGCTGCTGGAATAAAGGAAAACCTGGGTACAGGTTTTCTGGGAGGCCTCAGAAGGGTCTTGCACTGTAGCCTGCTTGGAGAAGGAACTGGTCTTCCCTCTTCCTGTTCCTGTATGCCTCCCATCCAGTGTGCGATTGCCTTTGACAATCAGGTGATAGAGTAGCTGATAGGATAGTATTATAAAAAGGAGGACTTGAGGGCGCTTCCTGACATAGGGCAGTTGGGCAGGACAGGCCCATTTTCAGTTTCATGGAGTGAGGTCTCTGCCTAGGAAAGTGTAACTGCTCCGAAGACTTCAGTAAATTCTAACCTCACAGTCCCCTTTAGTTTACAGTTGTGTGTCTTGGAATCTTGGTCAGGATTGTCTTGTGTGGATGTGCACCCACCACTGGCTACCGCTCTCTTAGCCCTTTGGAGTTTACGCTTGGAGAGTCCTAATCCCCAGTGTTCTCACATGGTCATTTCTTGTGTTACTAGTGGGAGCCTTTCTGCATTGATGTCTTGAAGTGTACCAGTGATTTTTAGAGCAGCGGTTTGAGTGGGGGGTCCTTTTCAGCTCTAATTAATTAGAGGCGTTTGATCCCCTTGGCTTCCACCTTCTAAACCCAGCTGATCTGTTCATAGACCTTGTGTGAATTTATGGGAAAGCTCGTGTAGCCTAGTGGGTGTCTGGACATCTATTGGGATTTAGGATTTGCGTATGATCGGGGGATTCAAGTATAGCGCTTTGGCTCTTGGAGAGCTCGCGCTTTGGAGGGTAGTTGTTGCTGTGTCCTAGGAGCAGACAGGTGAGATAACAGTAAGAACTCTGCTCTTTCTGCCTTCCACCCATTTTGCCAGATTAGTTTGGAAACACTTCTCTGGGGTCTAGGGTGGTAGGCCTCAGAAATGTAGGTGGCACATCATTGGTGTGGAGCAGCGGTTCTTAGATTTTAGTTGAGTGCCTGTGGGGCTTGTCCCTTAGAAATTCTGATATTTTGCATTTTTAGTTTATAGGCAAAGGATGTGAGGCGCTACACATTCATTTCAGCCTTACTATGTAAAAAAAAAAGTGACTACAGTTTTATTTGCCTGAGGCTTGGTCTCTTAGCTCTTTAAAATCTGGTCATTTGTCTGGGACAACTCTGGCTCATAGAGACACGCGCTGGTGACCTGACACCGCCGTGTATTTATTGCCTTTTGTTCTACCTGTTTTATTGGCTTTTTCAGTACTTCACTTTTTTCCCCTAAGCAAGCATAGTCTGCAATCAGTGTAGTTTTCAAATGGCGTTTATATCAAAGAGCATGCACAGAATAGTTAAATGTTGGGTTGATTGGTTCATATGACTATTTAGCAGTTATAAATGCTGTTTTCTGTTACGCGGTTTTTCTGTTATTGGTGACGTGTAAATAATGTTTTCTGTTATGCTTTTACAGTGTGGAGTGATCAGCCCCAGATTTGATGTGCAACTGAAAGATCTAGAAAAATGGCAAAATAACTTGCTCCCATCCCGTCAGTTTGGGTGAGTTGATTTTCCTCCTGTAAAAGAAGTTAATGTTAAGAACTGCTGTGATGCAGTTGGACTTGAGCTGAGGTTTCTTTTGGTTACAGTGGTAGTGGTGGTCTCTGTCCCCAACCAGCTTGACTCAAGGGCTAGCTTATTTACGTGTTGCCGCGTTTCATGTGTCGGGCTTCAGGTGCTGAGAGGTGTGTGAGACCTGAAGCAGACTGAGACAGCAGATCCGTGTCCCCTTTGCATGTCTGCTCGTCTGGCTCAGTGTGTGCAGTTCATGTTGTGTGTTTGATGTAGTGCCCCCCCCGCCCCCTTTTTTTTTGTGAGGAAGATCAGCCCTGAGCTAACATCCCTGCTAATCCTCCTCTTTTTTGCTGAGAAAGACCAGCTCTGAGCTAACATCTATTGCTAATCCTCCTTTTTTTTTTTTGGTTCTCCAAAGCCCCAGTAGATAGTTGTATGTCATAGCTGCACATCCTTCCAGTCGCTGTACGTGGGACACGGCCTCAGCATGGCCGGAGAAGCGGTGCGTCAGTGCACGCCCGGGATCCGAACCCGGGCCGCCAGTAGCGGAGCGCGCGCACTTAACCACTAACCCACGGGGCCAGCCCTGTAATGCCCTTCTGTAGCCGAATCACTTCTGAACCCTAGGCCTCTGGGGAAACTCAATTTGAACATCTTTATCCTTGGTAAAAGACTGAGTTCAAATCCTTGTTTTCCTACTTTAAAGCTATGAGGCCTTGGACAAGTCATAGCCTTAATTTCTTTATCTGTAAAAATGGTAATAGTTCTCTTACAAGTTGTAGTATCACCTGATTTAATTCTGGTAAAGCACTTTAGGGTCTGACGCAGTAAGTGCTTATCTGTTTGTGGTTAAGAGTCTTAAGCCCCCCAGTCATACGTTTGGTGACGTGGTTGAATTTACTCCCACTTGATGGTTAGTGTACTACAGACAAAGTGTTAGGAGCGAGTCATTTGTTTTTTTTTTTTTTTAAGATTTTATTTATTTATTTTTTCCCCCAAAGCCCCAGCAGATAGTTGTATGTCATAGCTGCACATCCTTCTAGTTGCTGTACGTGGGACGCGGCCTCAGCATGGCCGGAGAAGCGGTGCGTCAGTGCACGCCCGGGATCCGAACCCGGGCCGCCAGCAGCGGAGCGCGTGCACTTAACCGCTAAGCCACCGGGCCGGCCCATGGAGCGAGTCATTTCTGATTGTAGTTATACTACTTTTAATGCCTCGCAGTTGGCATGCTACCTTCTGTGTCTTTGACCCCCATAGTAACCCACGAGGTAGCCCGGCCAGGTGGCACTCCCATTGTTTGAATGACTGTCTCTCTATATAGTAGTTTGCTTGTGATCACACATACAGTAAGTGGCAGAAGCAATTCAATCAAGGTTAAATCAGTGCTTTAATGCTTTAAATTCCATGTTTCCTTGCCTGAGAGCAGAAAGTCACATTTTGAAGTTAAAGGTGTTCCCAGTCTTTGTTTTCAATTAAGCTTAATAGCATTGTTTCTCAGTGTTAGCTGAAGGCAGGGCTATGTGAGTGTGTGTAGCTCACGTCCCTGGATTTGAGTCTTTTGGTTCCAGGAGCCATGCCCGTGCACTGCCAGCCCGTGTCGGCAGCATTAGTCTGTGTCCATTACGAGAAGGTGTCTTAAGCATGGATGAGTGTTGGTGTTTTTCTGTACCAGAAAGCAGGTCTATGTTGAATTATTTTTAGGAAAAACTCACCAGGATTTTTTTTTTTTAACTCTCCAGTTTCATTGTACTGACAACCTCAGCTGGCATCATGGACCATGAAGAAGCAAGACGAAAACACACAGGAGGGAAAATCCTGGGATTCTTTTTCTAGGGATGTAATACATATGTGCAAATAAAATGCCTCGATGGACTATGGTGCTTCACTCAGTCGTTTCGAACTTTACAGCAGAGTAGCAAGAGCATCTGCAGCAGTACCAGCCTTTGTGTTAATTGGTGAATGCTGTTTCCCTGACTGAAGTGAACAAGAAAGTCCTGACTTGTGATAACTCACCATCACCCTCGTGGCTCACCAGAGAGTGTCTGGTCCTGGGTGGTTGAATCTGGGTTGGGGTCCAGGTGGTAAAGCTGTCTCTGGAGTCTTAGATTGACCCTGGAAGGAGTGGCGCCTTTCCTGTTTTTAGCTTGACAATACACATTTCATGCACTGTTGCTAACTGCCCTAAAAATATGACATGGCTACAGTTAACTATGTAAGTGCTTATAAGGATGCAGGCAGGAAGCAGACAGCTAGAGCCTACAGCTCACCAAGACTCGTTTCAAAGTAGATGTGCGTGGCATGTCAGTAACATTTTAGGGGTATGTGTTCATAAAATGTCATTTTTAAAAAATGAAAATTTTTTTAAAATCTAGTTTTACTGTAAACCTGTCACAGGTGTATTCCTGGAATTGGGGAGAATTAGTTTGCTGGACCACTTCACCTGGGAAACGCTTGTAGAGAGCTCAACCACCAGAGAGGGCAGGGTGGCTTCCTGAAATAGACCAGGGCTCCACTCCCACTCTCTAAGAGTAGTGCTGTCCAGTACGAATGTAACAAGGCTACATGTGTAATTAAGCTTTCCAGTAGCCACGTTAGATAAGACAAATAGTTGGGATTGATTTTTTAATAACATTTTCTCCAAAATGTTAAAATTTCAACATATGAAAAAAAGAATGGAATACTCTAATAATAGTCTTTGAAATTGTGTATATTGTATATTTATTTATACTTAAAGCATGTTTTACTGGGGACTAGCCACTTCCAGTAGCAGCATGTGGCTGGTGTTCTGTATTGGACAGCATAGGCTAGACTCTTGGTTCTTGGTGGGTCTATGGGTCTGGCCAAGGAGAAAGGAGGCTTGTAAGGAAGCCCAGGTGTGTGATGTTACTGTGCACCTAGCCAGCTGTATTGCCTGGCATGGGAGTGGGATGAACTGAGCAACTCACGGCTTATAAGAAAGGATAGCTAGTCTTCAGTTGTCATGTGGCCCAAAGTAAAAAAACAGCTGTCACGTTGCAGGCTTGATTGCAAGACATCCAATAGACCTAATAGGGTGTTAGGTGCTGAGAGCTGTTTGATGTGGCATAGGCATTTTCTTTTCAGAAAAGTACAAGTTTTCACTGTTCTTTGGGATTGTTTTGATAACAGTCCTATAGGGCTTTCTGACTTTGCGGTGGTTCAAGCAGGTCTCAGTAAGTACTCTTGTATCTATCTCACTCAGGGTAGGGATGTTGAATCAGCACTGACCTGGAGTGAGGCAATCTCCCGCAAGCAATGACTTCCATGAGCCTCTTTGGTCTGTAAAAAGGGACAGCCTACCTCATGGGGTTGCTAATGAGGGCAAGTGAAACAGCCCAGGGCCTGGGGCATGGCCAGCATTTGATAACTTCCTGAAAGGAAGGCCTACTATAAGATGTGGGAAATAGCTAGGAATGCCCGAGACTGGCCTTAGAGATGTGGCAAGTAAGGGCCCCTTTTGCTGAAATGTTAGAGGAAAGCTAGTTTAGCGGCATGTCTGGGTCTGGGGCCTTTGCCTCTGATGGTGGGGAAGCTGTGAGTGAGAACATGAGTTTTGGGAGTTCAGCAGACCAGAATTGAGGTCTGCTTTTCTGCTTAATACCTCCATGCCCTCTGTATGATGGGAATAATGGGAAACTTACATCAGTGTTGAGAAAGAAATGCAGCTATTAAGCACTTGACGGTCACATATGCGGTTGTCTTTGTCAGGCGCAGGGTAAGTGAGGAAGAATCTTGAGCCTGTTTCAATGCTGAGATTGTAAACTAGGCGGACAGGGGCTGTGTTTGTTTTGTTTACTGTTGTACCTCTGGTCCCTAGTCTGATGCCTGGCACAGAGGAGATGCCTCAGTAAATACATGTTGATTGAATGAATCATCATCTGGATGGGCACTGACAGATACTGAGATAGGACAAGATAATGGCCCCATTGCCATCACCGCTTAGTGGGGGTCCTGTGTCCTTTGAAGGAGCAAGGGAAAATCTGGGTAGGAAGATTGGGTGACCAGTTGACGGATTGAACACCACATTTCTTGTGTTAGTGGGGAAGCAGATGGCCTTAGTCCATGTTTCTGAGACCCAGTAAATAGTTTTAACATGACCTGGGGCTGGTTGGCTGGGGCTTGACCCCAGAGTTTGAGGGTCTGGAGACAGTTGGTGTTCATGCTGGCAGGATGACTTGGCTCAGGTGATTTGTAGTTTGGTGTGAACCCTGCCTTCCTTCCCAGTGTGCTGCTGCTGCAGACAGGCAGAGACCTGATGGTTGGGGGGTGGGGGTGGGCGGGGGTGACGGCATCTGGATCACCTGGACCCACAAGATACACACTGAGTCATAGTGTTAAAAGGGGCTGGGCTCTTAGCCTAGAATCCACAGATGTCAAGGAGACAATGAGCTTTCTGAAAATATGTGCAAAATTGATAGCCATGCATTTTTCTGGGGAGACATTCCATAGTAGAGCTTTTGATCACAGGCTGAAAGAAATTTGCAATTCAAAAGGTCGGAATCACTGCCAAGGACGTCCTCCACATTTTAGCAGCACCTCTGTGTCCATGTCAGTGCGTGCTGTGTCCTCATTTAGAGGCTGTTCTGCTTCACCTGGGTGACGTGGGTAACTGAGTGCTAGATAGAGGAGCAAAGGCAGTGACAGTCTGTCTTGGTCAGGTCGACATCTGAGAGATGACTTTCTTCACCCCAGGCCAGGAAGTTTGCCTTCTGTTCCTGACCCCAAAGAAAGGAAGCTCTGGAGACCCCAAATCTGATTCTCATTTGGCTTTCCAGCCTAATCCACCACTTCCCAAAACCTACCCACCAATCCTAAGTCGTAAATTGACCCCATATGTGCCCCACCTCTGAGCCTGTGCTCATGGCCCACCCCACCTGGAATGCCTTTTTCTCTTCCCCAGAGGTGTCCCCAAGAGCCATCTTAAATGTCACTTCCACCATAAATCTTCCTCCAAGAGGAACATGTGTTGTTTACACTTTTATCTTTTCTCCTAAAAATGCAAATACCTTGCTGAGACTAATAATAGTTTTTAGTGCTTGTTAAACTACTATATGCCAGGCTTGGAGCTAAGAGCTTTACGTGTATCATCTCATTTAATCTTAACAGTTGTACATCATGGCTACTATTATGGGCTCCAGATTTTCAAGTGAAAAAAGTGAAGCACAGAGTTATGAGGCCATTTGTTCAAGATGCTGGGAAGTGGCAAAGTCAGGAATTAAATGCTTTTAAACCACAGCCTTCTTGTTCTCTGGCCCTTACCGTGTTCTGTCATGCATCTGCCTTATCTTCAACATCACTAGCGTTTATTAAATGTTTACTATGTCCAGGCACTTGAGGTACAGGATGCACAAACATCCAGTCTGTGTGCTCGTTGGAGAGCCTGTTAATCTCTGACAAACTGAGCTCTCCACAGCAAGAACCCTGTTAACTCATCTCTGTATCCCCAGCATCTAGCTTATCAGAAGGGATGTTGGCATGTTTAAAAAAGTCATTTCTGACCGTCATGGCTGTGGGAGAGGATGCTTCTTAAAGTGGAATCCTTTCCAGCGCCTGTGCTCTAGTGTTGAGTCCACAGAATTCCATGGACCCAACAGTCGGTCTCAGAGCAGCATGGCAGTAGAGTGGGATGTGGGCAGGATTCAGTTCAAGGTCACTGTCAGGTCCCCCCTTTTTATGTTTTAAGTGACCTAATGAGCAGTGGAAGTGCCGAAGACCACACAGAAGATAAGCAAGGGAGGCAGTAAAAAAGGGAGGCAGTAAAAAAACTATGGTGGAAAGAATGGACTTTGGAATCAAATACTGGCCTCATCAGTCTCTGGCTGTGTGATCTTGGGCTCCTTGCCCTGCCTCCCGTGCATCAGTTTCCTCATCTTTAATATAGGGACAATAGTAATAGTTCCTGCGGTGGATGTAAAGATTAAACATAATGCTTGTAAAGTGCTGGAATGGTAATTAGAGCTGTTTGCAAAATATTCAGGTTCTCCACCTGCCAGACGCGTGATGATAGAAGTGCACTTTCCACATGACTAATTCTGGCCAATAAATGAGCTGTGAGCAGCCAGAAGTGATGTGTGTTACTTCCAGGCTGGAGCGTTTCGTGGCTGGTGTGAGACCTTCAGTGCACATCTTTCTGCCATGGTCATGGGCGCTGTGCTGGAGAGTGGCTGGTCCGTTAGCCGGGCCTGGCAGTGAGGGTGACAATGCGGAGATCCAGCCATCCAGCCATGGGAGTGTAGGAGGAGCAGGAAATCACCCACTGATGTTTGGGTTTGTTACTAACCTTGCCTGCTCTGACTGATACAAGTGCTTAAACAGTATCTAAAATTTAGTAAGGGCTTATTCAGTTACCAACAGGAAAGGATGGGATATAGAGTAACAAGGTAGATTAGCCGCCTTTGAGTGGATGTCAGGAGACTGACTATAGCGCCCTCTGTTCTCAACGTGGCGTTTTCCATTACCCACCTCTGTGCCCCTCCATGGGTCCACATGGTTTTTAGATACCTCCAACCCCCGGGCCTCTGACTCAGATAGTCAGTCCCTGGGTGGGGGGCCTGCCTCAAACCAGCTTGAAGATACCTTAGGATATTTTAAACCTGGGAGATGAGAGGTTTGTCTCTTTAAAATGGTGGAAATTGTAAGATAAAAACCTTGAGTGCTCCTGAGTGTCATAATTTCTGCCATCTGGAAAAAGCCACTTGGAGCAACAACAAAGAAGAGCCTCTGTGAGCAGCACAGACGAGATGGATCAGGTCCTCATGGCATGTGAGTCAGGGCTCCCGGTTCCTGAGGTGCAGCTGCACTCCTGCCCTTCCCATCTTTGTGTCCTGTGAGTGAGGGATAACAGTCTCCTCTTTTATTTAAAAAAATGTACTGGTATGAGCTAAATTTAAAATAAATTAATAAAGCTAAAATTAAATTTACTGGTTTGAGCTAAATTCTAATCACTTGCAAGCAAACTAACAGAGCTCTACTTGTAACTTGCTCACTAATCTGCTCTGGGACTTCTTGGGGATCAATCTCATCGTCTGTCAAATGGGGGCCAGGATAGTGGTCCTACTGCTTTATCAGTCAGTGTTCTCAGTTGCAAAAAGCAAAAATCACTCTAGCTAGTTTAATTTATTGAAGGATATAAGGTAACTCACAAGATCTCTGGAAGGACCAGGGAATTACTCTGGAGGCTTTGCAGCTGGGGATGGTAGCTCTATTACTCTGCTGCAGATGAGTCTAGATGCCACAACTCCCTCTGCAGTGCTGTATCCCTCTCTTGCTCCTGAGTTCTTTGCCCCTGCTGTTTCTGGAAGCTTGAACTTCCTGTGTCACCCTTCCTAGAATAACCTTGGTACTATCCACATTTTGGGCTGGGTAATTCTTTTTTTTCTTTTTTGTGAGGATGATCAGCCCTGAGCTAACATCCATGCCAATCCTCCTCTTTTTCCTGAGGAAGACCGGCCCCAAGCTAACATGGGTTGGGTAATTCTTTGTGGGGGCGGGGATCGGGGGCTGTCCTGAGCGTTGTAGGATGTTTAGCAACATTCTCGGCCTCCCCACACTAGATGCTGGTTGAGACAACCAAAAATGTCTCCAGACGTTGCCAAATTCCCCTGCAGGGCAAAATCACCCCGAGCTGAGAAGCGCTGCTGCATTGGATCAAAGGTTGACACCCTAACTGTAAGCGGACAGTGCCAGGGCAAGGTGCAAAAAAGGAGGCCTGTGTGTCATATACCAGGCATACCTCAGAGAGACTGTGGGTTCCGTTCCAGACCACCCCAGTAAAGCAAACATCACAATAAAGCAAGTCACATGAGTTTTTTGGCTGCTCAGTGCACATAAAAGTTATGTTTACCCTATACCGTAGTCTATTAAGTGTGTAATAACATATCTAAAAAATGTACATACTTTAATTAAAAATACTTTATTGCCAAAAAATGCTAACCATCATCTGAGCCTTCAGTGAATCTTTTTGCTGGTGGAGGGTCTTGTGAAAAATGCAGTATCTGTGAAGCATAATAAAGCGAAGTGCAATAAAACGAGGTATGCCTGTATCTATATATTTAAAAGTTATAAATCAAGCTAACAAGCTATTTAGTAAAATATGTTCTATACTCCTACCTTGACAACTTTGTAGCAACAACAAAACCCGAACAAATCTGGTTTTATATGATGAAGTTGGCAAAATATCAAAGAAAACTGAATTTATTGAGTATATCTGAGTAAGTTGATGGACCAACAATATTTGGATGAGAAATATAGATGTTCATAATTTACAAACTATTATTTATTTATTTCATAATATTTATTTCCGTTGCCATAATTTCCGTAAAATCACTAAATATGTTGTTATAATAAAAGTTTTTGCATAGTTTATGTTCTACTGGCAGTAATGATCCAAAGGACAAAAAGTAAAATGTAATTAGTTTCAAAATATAAAAATTTGAATATGTTTTCATAGAAAATATAAATTAAAGTAAATGTAAAACTAAAAATTTTTAAAGTTCAAAAAATTTCTCAATAAAGTTCTTTTATAAATTATTAAAAAATATTTATTAAAATTACCGGGAAAAATACAAATTATGTGAGTAAGGAATATCAAAACTTTTAAACCAAAATTGTTTAAAGCTGAAAATTTTAAATTTAATGTTTTGAAAACAACTTCATTAATAATCTTATGTAGTATTTTTATTACATAACTTTTTGTAATTCTGGTATTCAATGTCAATTTAGTTGTCAATATAAAGAATTGGTATCACTTCACATATCTTGTGCCTAGATCTCATGTATACAAATTAGAGAGTGATATGAATTGTTTAAATTGAGAAATGTTCAGCTACAACAAGCAGGAACATGAAGACCAACAGAAAAATGGATGTTCAGCACGGCTGGAAAATGATACTTACGCTAGAATCTACTGCATGCATGCTCCTTGAGAAGAAGAAGTTAATTAAGAAGTTAATTAACTTGTCCTTTCTCTCTCTTAAGTGTTTCCAACACTCAAGTCCTTTGCATGCTCTGAAGCAGTGTCTGTCCGCAACACTGGCAGAGGCTGCAGCCCACAGACCTCTGTGACATTCAGATACAGTTGCCTTTTGTTTAGAGATTTTAGGGCAAGAGGTGAGGAGAACATTCTTTGGGGCCTGAGCAGTGTTAGTTATAAAATAGGGTATTTAGGATTACAGATCATGCTGAGCCAGTGCTGAGCATATGATCCTGAGTGACAAGAGCACCCTTGTGTTCCTTAATACATTTATTTTTTATGTATTTCTGAGATGCGGGGCCAGTCTTGCTAGGATCTAAGTGCATTACTAGCTGCAAGGGAGACTGGGAAAACAAGTCTGGGCCTCCACCTTGGGGATCTTTAGACTCACAATATAGGAATTTCCCCAAACACAGAAAGAGTGCTCAAAAGGTGCTGGGCAACCAAAAATGGTGGAATAGGGAAATCCAAGTCTCCATCTGTCCCCTAAAACAACTAATAAGCTGGCAAAAACCGTCAGAAGCAGCTTTTGAAGAACTCCGGAATCTAGTCAAAAACTTAGAACAACCAAGAGAAAACTTGGTAAAGAGAGGAACTGCTGTTTTGTGGTAGGAGAGTGCTGTGGCATTCTAAATTACCCACCCACCATCCCCCACTCTCCATGGCCATGAGGTCGGTGGCCCAGACTTGGTGCTGGTTGTGTGCCAGAAGGAGCAATATGGAACTTATTCTCCAAGAACTGGTTGTGGGTGTCAACCTGTCTGGTGGCTTCCTCAAGGATGGGGGAAAGGCTCCCTCAGGCATTCCCAGGGCTAGCGTAGCTTTTGCTGAAAGCGTTAAAAGGCCTCAGCAGCCTGGGGCAAGAGACAGCACTTGGGACAAGCAAGAGACCAAGAAGCCTGGGAAAGAAGAGGTTGGGAAAGAGATCTGTGTGGGACTAGGGCTTTTCAAAGCTTCCATGTATGCCAGGGAGTCGAGACAGCTATGTACAGGCTACAAGTGAGACATATACTCAGAAAAGGCCTGAGAGGGCTCTAAGCTTTCCTCCCTTGCTGGCCTTCAGGCTCTGTGAAAGCAGGAGGTGAAGCTAAGGCAGAGTTGTAAACAGGCTGGCTAGGAGTTCAAGGAGTGCCCTGAGGGATCCAATCTGCAAAGCCTAGGAAAGTATCTTTTCTTTCCTTAAAAAAAATTCTTTATTTCTTTTGTTGGCTCCAGGCATTTAAGGTAACTCTGTCAAAATACCAGCTGTCTAGGGGCCGGCCCCGTGGCTTAGCGGTTAAGTGCGCGCACTGCGCTGCTGGCGGCCCGGGTTCGGATCCCGGCGCGCACTGACGTACCACTTCTCCGGCCATGCTGAGGCCGCGTCCCACATACAGCAACTAGAAGGATGTGCAGCTATGACATACAACTATCTACTGGGGCTTTGGGGGGAAAATAAATAAATAAAATTAAAAAAAAAATACCAGCTGTCTAATAAGCTAAAGGAACACAGACTTCAGTGGCAAAGACTACAGACCTTACAAAAATAGTTGTTACTAAACAAGCAAACAACAGCAACCCACAATAGGCAGCAGCAACAAACCCTAGAGAGGAAAGAAAATCTGACTTCCAGAGTCATCACATATTCAAAATATCCAGTAGTCAAAAAAAAAAAAAAAAATGACAAGCCATGCAAAGAAACAAGAGATTATGGCCATCACAGGAAAAAAAAGTAATAGAAACTGCCCATGAAGCAGCCCAGGTATTGGACTTAGACAAAGACTTTATTTATTTATTTTTTTTAAAGATTTTATTTATTTTATTTCTTCCCCCCAAAGCCCCAGTGGATAGTTGTATGTCGTAGCTACACATCCTTCTAGTTGCTGTATGCGGGACTCGGCCTCAGGATGAACGGAGAAGTGGTGCCTCGATGCGCACCCGGGATCCAAACCCAGGCCACCAGCATCGCAGCGCGCGCACTTAACCACCAAGCCACAGGGCCGGCCCATTAGACAAAGACTTTAAATCAACTGTCTTAAATATGCTCAAAGAGCTAAAGGAAACCAGGAGAACAACACCTCAACATATAGAGAATATCAATAAAGAGATAGGAATTTAAAAAATGAACCAAATTGAAATTCTGGAGCTGATGAGTATAAAAACTGAAATGAAAAACTCATTAAGAGAGGTTCAATAGCAGATTTGTGTGGGCAGAAGAAAGAATCAGTGAACTTAAAGATAGGTCAGTTGAGATTTTCAGGCTGAGGAGCAGAAAGAGAAAAGAATGAAGAAAAATGAATAGAGCCTACGAGACTTGTGACACACCATCAAGAATACTAACGTGCACAATGGGAGTCTCAGAAGGAATAAAGACAAACATATACATCAATAGAATAGAATGAGAGTCTAGAAATAAATCCATACATCTATGGCCAATTAATTGTTGACAAGGGTGCTAAGACCATATAATGGAGAAAGAATAGTCTCTTTGACAAATGGTGCTGGGACAACCGGATATTCACATGCAGAAGAATGAAGCTAGACCCCTGCCTCACACTATATACAAAAATTAACTCAAAATGAATCAAAGACCTAAATGTAAGAGCTAAAACTATGAAACTCTTGGAAGAAAATATAGGGGTAAATTGTCATGACTTTGGGTTTGGCAGTGGATTCTTAGATATAACACCAAAAGCACAGGCAACACGTTAATACATAAATTGGACTGTATCAAAATTAAAAACGTTTATGCATCAAAGGACACTATCAATAAAATGAAAAGACAACCTACAGAATGGAAGAAAATATTGCAAATCATAGATCTGGTTAGGGTCTCTTATCCCGAATACATAGTGGACTGTTGTAACTCAACAACAAAAAGACAAACAAAATAATTAAAAAATGGGCAGAGGATTTGAACAGGCATTTCTCCAAAGGAGATATACAAATGGCCAGCAAGCACATGAAAAGATGCTCGTTAACTGTAAGGGAAATGCCAATCAAAACCACTTCCAACTCAATAGGATGGCTATAACCAAAAAGTGGAAAACAAGTGTTGGTGAGAATGTGGAGAAATCGGAACCCTCATACATTGCGGGTGGACATGTAAAATGATGCAGCCACTGTGGAAAACAGTTTGGCAGTTGCTCAACAAGTTAAACATACAATTACCATATGACCCAGCAATCCACTCTGAGGTATATACCCCAAAGAATTGAAAACACATATTCAAATATTTGTACATGAATGTTCATAGCAGCACTCTACTCACAACAGAGCCAAAATGTGGGAACAACTCAAATGTCCATCATGCCGTGAATGAATAATCCAAGTGTGGTCTATCCATACGATGGAATATCATTCAGCCATAAAAAGGAATGAAGTTGGGCCAGCCCGGTGGCTTAGCGGTTAAGTGTGCTCACTTTGCTGCTGGTGGCCCGGGTTCGGATCCTGGGCGTGCACCGACGCACCGCTTCTCTGGCCATGCTGAGGCCACGTCCCACATACAGCAACTAGAAGGATGTGCAACTATGACATACAACTATCTGCTGGGGCTTTAGGGGAAAAAAAAAAAAGGAATGAATTGCTGATACGTGTTACAGCATGGGTGA